AAGAGAAATGAAAACCAAATACTACTAAACTATTTAAGGATCAGTATCACAGCAACAGAACATTTCAATAACAGCAAGAATGTTAGGCGCATCATTAAATTTTGTGTTTTTATTTTTTTAATTTTACTTTTTTATTTGATCAGCAACACTGCTGTCCATTTCTAAGAAATTTTAAACCTTCTTTCTCTGTTCAGTATTGTATTATCATCATCATCCTTAAATGCCACATTGAGCTGACAATTGATTCCTCCACTCTGCTCTGTTGCATACGACACTGTTTCTGAGTATGGAGTTCAGCCTAGATTTTGTTTAAGTTTCTTATAATAATATTGTTCTTAATGTTTGCCTAGGTTGTCCTCTTTTTCTCAGACCGCTTGTTTCTTTTTTTAGTGCTTGTTTTGCAGTTCTGTGCTCACTTCATCTCTAAGTATGCCCAATATATCTCCACTTTTGTGTGTCTTATTTCAATTAATACCAGTATTTGTCCAGATATTTGCCTGATCACTTTAAAAAAAATAATTCAATTTTATGTTCATGATTTTTCCAGGACATTTATTTTCAAATGCATTTAACTTTAATCTTATCTTTGGTGGTTCTCTAACTTGAGCTGGCAAATGTTAGAATTAAAATAACATTAAAATTGAAGATTCGTAATTTGGTCTAAAAGCTGTATAACTTGGAGCTCCATATTTTGCTAATGCTTTTAAAGACTTGCAATTGCGTAATCATAATCTCTTTTGATGTATCTCCATGAGAGTCAACATATGCTACCCAAATAGGTGGAATGGTTAATCTAAATGCTTTGGATTCGCTGACCATTTGTGTGCGACATGTCAAATCTCAGAACAGCCAAATAAAAACCATATTCTTGATAATGTATGACGGTAATTCCGATCATGATTCACATTTTATTTATTCAACAGTGATGTTCCGACAAATATTTTGCGTCGCTAATTCTAGTTTTTCAAAAACAGCTTCATACAAATTTATTTTCCTAGCAAACAAAACAGTATTAAAATGCCTGTGTCGGCATCCACTGAATCTGCGATTTACCTAATGTGACCGATTCTGTCGACGGCTAATCAGCAATATGCTTGGAAAGAGTTAATAACTCGTTCTCTTGGCACAGTTGTCAAAGATCTCAAAGAATATTCTTTATTTTGTGAAACCCTGCCATTGTTTAAGTTATTCTACATTTAAATTCTTCTGCTACATCTACCTCCTGGTAGGGTATTTAATTATGTAACCCTCTTGGCAAAAATAGTGGCATTTGATTGTCAAATAGGCATTTTTTTGTAGCCTTTTACATAAGTAACATAGTTTTTAATATATATATATATATTTTTTTTTCTTTAAGCTTTTCATTTATGTCCTCGTTCCCACGCTAATGTGTGTATGTATATGTGTGCACATGTGTGAATCGAAAGTGATTTCACATTTAAACGCATCTTTATTTTAGCCTATTATTTTCAAATGGCGTTTATTATTTATGTCCCTATTCACTCACGAATGTAAACATGTGTGTGCATATGTGTTTAATGATCAGATCCTTTTTTTGGGATCCTTGTATTATTATACAAATATATTAATTATTGATGAACACACACTTACCCATGCCCATAGGTTAGCAGACAGCTTAGGGGACACACAGAATAATGGCAGGGTAACCCACTATTATAAGTAAAGCTGCATGCATAGGTGGTAATATATAGTGTATTGGTTATATGATGTGTAATGTGTCATGTCAGCTGAATATTACATTAATAAACCTAATTTAATTTAATTTAATTTTTCTGTACCAGGAAATGGGTTGGTCATGTCAGCGGAATGTTAAATTAATGAACTTAATTTATTTAACTCTTTCTATACCGAAAAACAGCTGGGTCACGTCAGTGAAATATTGCATTAATGAACCTCAATTATTTAACTCTTTCTGTACCAAGAAATGGCTGGGTCATGTCAGTGGAATGTTACATTAATGAACCTAATTTATTTAACTCTTTCTGTGCAGAAAAATTAATGGCTGGGTTATGTCAGTGGAATGTTACATTAATTAACTCTTTGTGTACAAGGAAATGGCTGGGTCATATCAGTGGAATCTTTCATTAACGACCATTTGTAATTATCTCTACAACAAAATTATAAAAGCTAATGTTCCCAGCCTCACAATTAATAACAGTAACATCAAATGAGAAAACAAACTGAGGTACCTGGGTATCGCTTTTGATAGAAGCCTGTCCTATAGGGATCACGTGGAGGCAGTTGCGGTGAAGTGCCAAAAAAAGACTTAGTGCTCTTAAGATTATTGCAACAATGGACATGGAACAAAGAATGCTGTTCACAATGTTCCAGCATGTGATCCTGTTGTTAGTAGATTATGGACTTGGAATGCTTACCATATCAAAGAGTCAGCCGATAAAACTCAAACATATACAGATTGAAGCCTTGCGGGTGATTCTGGGGTGCACAAGTATGTATGCGATATATACTTGCACTGCCTACTATTGCAGATAGGCTCAAAGTTCTCTACTTGCACTGCCTACTATTGCAGATAGGCTCAAAGTTCTCTACTTGCACTGCCTACTATTGCAGATAGGCTCAAAGTTCTGCAGGCAAAGTCATATCAGAGAAGCTGCAGACAAGAAGCACCTCCTGCATGAAGCCCTGGGTAGAGCTAAGGGTCGCAGACTGAGAAGAGGAAGGTCTTGGATGGCGCAAGCTGAAAACACAATTGAAATGTGTGCAGGCTCGATAAATTTGAGCGAGGAGGGGAGTGGGTCAAGGTGCCCGAAGAAGTTTCAGATTTGTGTAGGGTTCTAATCACTTTAGGTCTTAAATGCAGAGACTGGCCAGCTGGTGCTGCATAATCAAAAGTTCAACAAATGATTCATGACAATTCTAGCCCAAGTGATGTGATTATCTTTACAGATGGCTCTGTGTTGAGGGGCAGACAAAGTGCATAGGGGTTCATAGCAAAAGCGAATGGATGTCACCTCGTGCAGCAAAGGCTTGCATATGATATCCCAGCGTCTAGTTTGAGAATGGAGGTGGAGGCAGTCTTTGCTGCCTTTTGCTTGCTTGAGAATCAGCTGTAAACACGTGCTGTGATTGTAACTGACAGAGAAAGGTGAAAACAGGCATGCTTCATGCAGAGTGGCAAGCATCACTTTAGAGGTCCTGGGTAGTTAGCATCCTTTAGATATTTTCTCTAGGTCAAGCCGGTGTTTTGGGAAATGAGCAGGCAGATAGACTGGCTGGCTCTGCACCACTTGGTGGTGAATTGATGTTGATACATTAGATATTGTGAGGGCTCTTTGGGAACAAGTGCAGATAAATTATCATGGTCTGATGTGAATTGCTGTGCGAGTTACCAAAGGTGAGGGGGGGGGGGGGGGGGGATGTGGCTGACGCTCAGAAGAAGAATAAAATGAATATACAATCAGAAAATTACCGGTACCATCAGAGTCTGACTGAAGTCTTTGCTTGCTGCTGAAGTTGGAATGGAGCACTTTGGGAGTGTCCGGAGTGCTGTGATGCCGATTCTTATTCCAACATTTAATTAACCCTTTCTGTACCAGAAAATGGCTGGGTCATATAAGTGAAAGGTAATCAACCTCATTTAATTGTCTCTTTCTGTACCAAAAAGTGGCTGGGTCAAATCAGTGGAATGTTACACTAATAGACCTAATTTATTTAACTCTTTTTGTACCAAAAAAAAAAAGGCGGGTCATGTCAGTGGAATGTTACATTAATGAACCTCATTTTTTTTTAACTCTTTCTGTACGAAAAAAATGGCTGGGTCATGTTAGTGGAATGCTACCATTAAGGAACCTCATTTAATTTAATTAACTCTTTCTGTACCCCCCCCCCCCCCCCCCAAAAAAAAAAATTGGCTGGGTTATGTCAATGGAATGTTATAATAATGAACCTCATTTAATTGACTACACCAAGAAATGGCTGGGTCATGTCAGTGGAATGTTACATTAATCAACCTTATTTATTTAACTCTCTCTGTAGCAAAGAATGGCTGGGTCATGTCAGCAGAATGTTAATTAATGAGCCTCATTTAATTAACTCTTTCTGTACGAAGAAATGGCTAGGTCGGGTCTGTGGATTGTTACAATAATGAACCTCATTTATTTGAATATTTCTATACCAAGAAATAACTAGCTTATGTTAATGGAATGTTACTCTAATGAACTTCATTTAATTAACTCTTTTTGTTCGAAGAAATGGCTCAGTCATGTCAGTGGAATGTCACAATAGTGAACCTCATTTAACTTAATTCTCTCTGTACCAAAAAATGACTGGGTCGTATCATTGGAACATAACATTAATTAATCTAATTAACTTTTTCTGTACGAAGAAATGGCTGGGTCATGTCAGCGGAATTTTTATTAATGAACCTCATTTTTTTTCTTTATCAAGAAATGGCTGGGTCATGTCAGTAGAATGTTATATGACTGAACCTCAATAAATGTGTGTGTCAACCAAGAAGTGCACAGTGCATGATATGCTAGCTTCTATTTGTACGCAAAAAAAAAAAAAGTGATTTGATGGCTGGTACGAGCATAGGACATATAAAACAGTAATGTAATTGTATAAGTTGTGTATGTTGACATATAAAACAGTAATGTAATTGTATAAGTTGTGTATGTTGACATATAAAACAGTAATGTAATTGTATAAGTTGTGTATGTTGACATATCAAACAGTAATGTAATTGTATAAGTTGTGTGTATTTGCTGCAACTATGAAAATAAAGCAGTTTAGCATTACTTCTGTTTCTTTTAGGCACATGATGTGAATTCTTTGGGACTGAAAGCATTTATTTTCTGTGATTAATTTTAAAACCTCAACTTTAAGCATGCAATAGAATCTGGTAGAGCAAGGTTCTCAGTTATCATGTCCTGTTGTGTTAAATAAGTGTCATGAAAAAGAGTTTAAAACACTAAGTGCAGACTGCTCATTTATTGTATTTTGTTTGTTTTTAATTTCAGGATGATTTGGCGTGATCTGTAGCAACAGGAAATATTGAGAATTTGAACATGAGCAAGAAGATGGCTTGGTTGAGTAGAATGGCACATTCACCGTCTGACTTGGGTGCCTGTCCAGCTGAGGGCATGCACTAAATGAATGAAAAAACTTGAGAACTTCTGAAATAATATGCTATGTTCTGGCTTGAGATACCCACAGACACAACCTCTTTCTCTCCTCACATGTTCTAATGCCCTACAGTTAGCCTGCTGTTGTACGATATGTGTGTTGTTTTACGATATGTTGAGATCAAGTAGAAGTGTTCTCAGAGAGTTCAAGAATGGCTGACTCCATGGTTTTGTCCAGGTAGTTTGCTGAGTGTGTTAGATGAAATACATTTCTTGTTGAGTTTGTTTAGTTGCTTGTTTACGACAGATATTTTTTTGTTTTGCTCTAGATTAAACGCAAAATCAAAGGACAATAATTTGTTTGGTAGTTTTTCCCCACGTCCGTTTCATGCATCTGTAAGAAATTTACATTTATATTAGAATAAACAATTAACATTATATAGTGTTTCTATTCTTTGCACATTGTTGACAAAATACTGTTAATATTTGTGTCTGTTTGCTTGTTTAGTTTTTGTGTTCTATGATCATGTTATTATTTACTGGATTTTGTGTGCATTTTACATTGACTGTTATTAATTTGTATTTTTTAAAAATATAGAATACATTTGTTATCCTGACAATAAGAATAATGTGTCTTTACTGATATACTATAACTTTCTTTGCTTGAATGTTATTTCTACATACTGCCTACATTTCTTTGTTATTCACACTTCATTGCTGGTTTACCATTTCAGTCATAGTTGTGTTAACTCATTCTATTGCCCTACTTTGGGTTCAGTGCAGGGAGTGATACTGTGAGTTGTGGTTTTCATGTTCAATGATTTTCGTCTGTGGCCAAGATGGTTTGTGTTATAAAGTGTATATTCAAAAAATGAAGGGTGGCCGGTTGCTACAGAAGTGGCTTATGCAGTATTGCATGTGTAACTGGTTTGTCGTGTCTGCCACTTCCATTGATGGATGATTCTAGTGGAAGACTGGGTTTGTCGTGACTGCCTCTTCCATTGATGATTCTGGTGAAAGACTGTAGGTGTTGGCATATCTGGTGGCTGTTTTATGCATTTAATGTGTTGCATGCTGTTGGCTTTTCAGGTCTGCTGTCTGTTCCATCTGGTAATCTGGTAATTTTAATTTCAGCTTCATAGCAAACGGGTCACCCCATCTTTGCTCCGCTCCTGTGCCAACGAAAAACACACAGAATGTTTATCACAGTCCCTCTTTTCACATGGGTCATTGAAGGGCATTCTGAATGGTTTTCACTGGCACCAGAACAGAGCATTTGTCGGGGTGACCTGTTTGCTGTGAAGTTGAAACTATAATAAAAACAATGGCTCCTTGAAACTGTTAAAGTCTACAGAACTCAAATAATAACCGTGGTAAGACAAAATGATTTAAAGTAACAGTTAAGATAGAATATGTTAATGTAACAAAACCATTCACATTATAAGAACCATGTGTAGGAAAAATATAATGTGGAGAGGTACATATAAATGCATAGGGAGTTGATGGTACTGAAGGAGTAAAACATTTGATCACTGACTAAAGAAATGATGGTGAATCCTGAATGAGTTAACATTTAACTGACAACTGAAGTTATATAAGTGATGGAAAGTCTGAATAAGTTTTAACTGCTAACTGAAGTTATGGAAATACTATAGGGTCCTGAATTACCATTTGACTGATAACTGAATTTATAGAAATACTGGAGGATGCTGGGTGAGTTAAACATTCGACCGATAACTGAAGTAATAGAAATACTGGAGGATGATGAGTGAGTTGAACATTTGAATGATGATTGAAGTTATTGAAGTGATGGAGATTCCTGAATGAGTTTTAACATTTAACTGCTAACTTAATTTATAGAAATATGGAGGGCGATGAGTGAATTGAACATTTGACTGATAAATGAAGTTATAAAGTGATGGAGGGTCCTGAATTAGTTGAACATTTGACTGATAATAATCTAAAGAACTGATGGACACCTGTCATAATCAATAATAAATGAACTTCAAACGTTTCATTTAAAATATTCAAACCTTTCTTACAAATAGCTAATGTTTATTTAAAAAAAAAAAAAAACCACAAGATAGAAAATGTGCTAACTAAAATCATCATTCTCTGTATTTTTTAAAAGATATGTAATCAGCATGAAAATAATTAATTTTTAGAGGCTATGGTTTGCAAAAATGTAATTTTTCTGTAGAAATCATATTTGAAAATTTCCATACCTTTATTTTGAGTCGCTTAGATGAATGAGAAGTCAGGCTTTTCTCAACAGGGCTAACAAAGCCTGATCAGTATTTGAATGAGAAGTCAGGCTTTTCTCAACAGGGCTAACAAAACCTGAACAGTATTTTTATGCAGCTTTTGTTTACAGCTGCACTCTTATGTGCTTCTCCAGTAGGACTGTCAAACCGTTTATTATCCCAATAAGTTTCCAAGTTGCAGTTTGTGGCATCATAGAGAATACACTCCTAGATCTTTTGACTTATAGAGTTTTAACTCACCAGCTGAGGGCAGTGGAGTAGCATCTCTCCAGCATGGATATCCATGGTGAATAAATGTGCACAATATAACCCCATCATGAGATATAGATGCTATACAGAAATAGACACAAAAGACGGGCAACAAACCAGACACTCAAACCTGCTGTCCCGAAGTAATTGGGTTTAAATCCTCAAGGAGGCAGATGTCTTCTGACTTTACATTGACTCCTAGGTTGACTCGGTTGAAATGGTTACTAGGTAATGTCCTGGGAAGTAAAGGCAACAGACATGATGTTGACCACATCACCAATTAAAAGCTGATTGGTCTGTAAAACAAAAATAGAGTGAGTCTAGTATGCTATGCATGATGTATAAGTGGTGTAACAAGGGTACTTGGAGGTCTTTCAACTTGGACTGGTTTAAATATGAGACAATGAGGTTATGTCCACTGTGAATATTTGTAGAATCTGAGACAGTGAGATCATGGCCATGTGTGTAGTTCTAGAATGTGAGATTGTGAATAGTTCTAAAATGTGAGATTGTGAATAGTTCTACAATGTGAGACAGTGAGTTCATGGCCATGTGTATAGTTCTAGAATGTTAGATTGTGAATAGTTCTACAATGTGAGACAGTAAGATCATGGCCATGTGTATAGTTCTAGAATGTTAGATTGTGAATAGTTCTACAATGTGAGACAGTAAGATCATGCCCATGTGTATAGTTCTAGAATGTTAGATTGTGAATAGCTCTACAATGTGAGACAGTAAGATCATGGCCATGTGTATAGTTCTAGAATGTTAGTTTGTGAATAGTTCTACAATGTGAGACAGTAAGATCATGCCCATGTGTATAGTTCTAGAATGTTAGATTGTGAATAGTTCTACAATGTGAGACAGTGAGATCATGCCCATGTGTATAGTTCTAGAATGTTAGATTGTGAATAGTTCTACGATGTGAGACAGTGAGATCATGCCCAGTGTGAATAGTTCTACAATGTGAGATTGTGAATAGTTCTACAATGTGAGATTGTGAATAGTTCTACAATGTGAGACAGTAAGATCATGCCCAGTGTGAATAGTTCTAGAATGTGAAACAATAAGATCATGCCCAGTGTGAATAGTTCTACAATGTGAGATTGTGAATAGTTCCACAATGTGAGACAGTAAGATAATGCCCAGTGTGAATAGTTCTACAATGTGAGACAGTAATATCATGCCTAGTATGAATAGTTCTAGAATGTGAGACCATGCCCACTGATTCTAGAATGACACTGCTATTGATAGACTATGATGGTTAGAGTATTGATTCTTCCATTGTGGGTCAACATCAGGTTATGTGTTGATTTGACTAAAATAATTTTATACAAAGTAACAGTAAAAATTATGTGGCTTATGTGAATATTGGGGCGTAAAGTTGTAGGACTCTCAAGACTGCAACATTATGTTGTGAACTGACCATTTCCTTTCCTCAGTACCTGTCACTGTCAGAGATTCACACACCTTGTAGTTCCAAACTAGGGCTGTTCCTTCACTGTGTTCCTCTATTCTTTTCTATCTTGTGCAATCCTTTCCATATGATGGTTGAAATCCAATCCAACGCCCCTGGCCTCAACAGCATTCACTTTTGGGCATTGACGTTTCCTCATCCTGTGTGTTTCCTTTTGAATACCCTTTTAACAATTCCCTGACTGCTTCTCCTCTTGATGCACCCTCAATATTGCTATCTTCGTTTTCCTCATCACTGTCTTAAATATAAGTATTTGTAATAACAGGTCTCTTATATCTTCACCATTTGTGAATTCATCTGATTAAATGCCCACCAGTTTCCCTCGCATATGTTTCTGAATGCATTTAACATTAATTTTATGTCTTTAATGAGATATCAGTTGATTCGTTATCTGGGATTGATTGTTTCGAGCTTTGGTGACATAATTGTTAGTGCACTGTTGTGTCATGACAGTTTTCTGGGTTCAAAATCTCAGCAGAAGCAGGAATATTTTCTCCAACTAGTGTGACTCTGGTATTAACCATACCAGGGTTCCAGACAGTTTGGAGAATTTTCTAGGAAGGTAGTCATGAGAACAAGAAATGGTTCTACTATGTATGTCATGGCCTAGAATATGTGAAGACCTGTTAATGATCAATTTTGCTGATGAAATAGTTTATGAAATAGTTGTGATCTATCTCTACTTAAGATAGTTGATTTGGCTACTTAGCACAAGTTACACAGCCTAGACATTTATTTTTGGTAAATTAATGAAATATATGAAAACGGAGTCTTATTACGAATCTTTGGACCCATCAAAGATGCAGACAGCTGGCAATTGAAAGTGAGAAGCAACAAGGAAATTCATAATCTGTTTTAATCACAATTGATCACTGGCATCATGAGAGCTTATAGACTGAAATGGTTGGGGCCTATTGAAA